ATTGAGCTTTTAATTCATATAGTGGCATCAGGCCTGTTTTTTTAAAGGTTACTTTATACTTTTATACTTTAAGTAGTTTTTGGAGCAAATACTTTTTCACTTTTACTTGAGTAAAGAGGTCAAGTTGATACTTCAACTTTTACCAGAGTGTTTTTAAACTGCAGTATCTATACTTCTACTTAAGAAACAAATGTGTGTACTTTTGACACCATTGCATTTAAAGCAGAAAAATAATCTGAAAGTGGTTCAAATATTCAGACGAAGCACCTGGATGGGATTAGGAGGCGGCGGTGGGAGGCTGGCCACTTTAGCCGAGCGCTCCTTTTCTATCTGCAGCGCGTTCCTCCTGGCATTGATGGATCTAACGATAAAGGAGAGCCGTTAAAACAGAGTTACTTCTAAACTCCACACCTATAAAAAAAAATAATCATATATTCCTTACTGTTGTTGTCTCTGCTGCTCTTTAATCTTATGGAATTTGAGCTCCTTCAGAGCTTCCCGGTACCGCTCCTCTGCTTTGGCATGGTTCTCCTCCGCCTGCCGAGCAACAGCCGCAGGATCAGGCTCCTGAAACAATGATAGAAAACGACGTTCATTTAAAAAACATTGCTACGTTTCACCCTGCAGAGCCTCATCTAACGGCCATCGCTCACATTTTCTTTGGCACTCCTGTGGCTCTGACCCAGAAGCTTGAGGCTCTCTTCATACAAGCTCTGCAGCGTTTGGAGCTTCTCCCTCTGCCTTCTCTCCCAGTCCTCCCTCAGCTGCTCCTCCAGTTGCCGTAGCTCATGCTGCCGCCTTTGCTCCACCTCCCGGCGGATCTGCAGCGCGATTTGCCTCTGCTGCTCCCGCACCTGCGTGGAAACACAAAAATCTCAGCTCTGTAACAAGTTCTGAATGAAGCAAACCAACTTAAGCAAACTGAGGAAGTTTGAGAGCCCAATAAATCATAAAACACTAATACAGGATTAATCCTAAACCTTTAAAGGTTATCATTTATATTTTAATTGGAATTTGAGAGTTTTTATTTCCTCAAACTCATAAATTAGACCGCCTTATTTGCTGCCACTTATTTTCAACAACTGTGAGGGAAATGGCTGTTCCAAACTGGAACCAATAGGTTCTATAAATCTTTATACAACATATTTATGTTTTCTCCTTCTTAAAGAAGTCCCAAGGCTGCAGGAATAAAGATAGAAGCTCCTGCTTTTGTCTTGGAGAGAGAATATCTTCATCTACTTCACTTTATGAAAAGGTGACTGGGATCTCCTGAGCTATACCTTCAACAAAAATACAAACTAATCCTCGCTTAATGAATTTATACAAACACTATGACTTCCTTTTGTTTACCCAATAGAAAGTATGCTCATCCCTGTGTGATCCAGAGCCTGCTGCTCTTATTGGGTTTGTTTGCCTTATTATTTAAATGGAGCTGTTCCTTCCTACTGTCACCTTATGCTTGTTCAGGATTAGGGAAGGTGATAACTTTATGCATTGAGTGGATTTGTTTAATCAGCCAATTGTTTCCAGCTGTGCTCATTTTAATACTTAGTTTGTCTGAGATAACTGTGTTACAACTAAAATGTTAGTTGACTGTAACAAATTAGACCAATCAGAGAAAGGGAACATTTCCACTCATAGATTCTACTTTTTTTTTTATTTTCTATAAAATCCAAATGATTGCCTTCCTTTAAGAGGCAATAGATCAGAAGAGCGTTAATGAACTTCTCAGAACCAGTCCATTACCTGTTGTATTCGGAGTTTTCTCCTCCTTTCAAGTTCCTCTCGGATTATACGAGCCTCTTCGTTTGGACTCAGTCTCAATCTCGACACTTTCCGCTTCATTTCCCCCAGATGTGCTAACGGACATTTTTTTCCAAAACCGACACTGACTGTTAACAGGGCTAATTCGTTTTAGGAGAAGATAAGACTGTCTTTCTTTTGGGCCGACTCAACCATTCCGACCCGCTCGGTCCGTTAAAATGTGAAATAAAAGCTTAGTCATACTAAAAAAGAACAGAAAGAAACAGCAGAATGCTCCATTGTTGGGAATATCATCGATAAAACGCCTTCTCGTGAAACAAACACGACCGTTTTTTGTTTCTACGTCATATCCGGGTGGTTTAAATTGACCGCCGTACCACCGCCATTTGGTTCCTACTTGCTAAAACTTTCACATGTAGATGGATATTGTTATTTTTATTTTCATTAAAATAATAACAGCCTGATATGACATATAGATTTTGAAACACAAATAAAGTCGGCCTCCAGTATCGAAAGCGGGCTTTTATTTTAGTTGTGAAAAACGCCAGGGGGTCTGTAATGCTGTGACACCGGGTCCGCATTATTTTTCTTTCACCGGCAGAAAAGTTGGCCACTGTCTGCAACTCAATTAAAAAGAACAGACTTCTAACGGGTTTCTGCATGGCCATTAATGGGCGTTTATAGCATAAACATTTCAGGTATTCTTTCGTGAACACAACTTCTAATGTTTAGGTCGGGTCCTATAATAGAGTGGTTGTCTTTAGGCGGATATTTTGGCGGTTTTCCTCCCGCGCAGAGACGACGACCTACTACCCTGGCGGTGAAATGGTGCAGACCCTGTAGTTCCTGCGTTCTTGGCAAAGAATGAGCCAGAGACAATGCTCAAAATCTGACATATTTTAGCGTTAATCCACATATATTCTGGTCTATTCTTATCAACAGGTAAGCTTTATTCAAATAAAACGTCTATGACGTGGTTATATTTGTATTTGTGAGTTCTGGCATTTAGTATTTTATTACGATGTATTAGCGAACAGCTAAAATGAGCTAATGTTGCTATATCAATGCAGGAAGACAATGAAAGGAGAGAGTTCGAGTGTTTGTATTGAGTTTTAATGAAAGTAATTGCTTTAAATAGAATATATATTCTTTAACAGGTTTCTTTTTTCACTTTGTCTGAATTAGTAGATTAGATCATAGGCTGTACATTTTATGCGTTATTTCTTCCAAATAGTTTTAAAATTGCATGACTGGAAACGTTTTTTTTAAATGTACCTCTTATTGTTTATGCGTTTCCGTTGTGTTGAGACAGAGTATTGATCAAAGTTCAGAAAATAACTGATATATTTGATATCAAACCTAAAAAATCGGGTTTTCAGAGAATGGCATTGATCTTTAGAACTTGGTGGGGTAAAAAAAAAAAAAAACTTTGGAAATTTTCACAACTAAACTTTATTTATAGAGCCATTTGAAACAACATGCTGCCACTAGTGATGGTTAATGAGGCATTTTGAAGCGTTTCATTGCCAAATTGTTTTGATGCTGCGTGTTCCTGTCTCATTGAATACTGCCACCTGCTGGACATTTAAAGACACTACAGGCAGCTTATTTCACAGACTAAACTGAATTGATTAGATGACCTAGTACAGGGGTCTGCAACCTGCGGCTCCGGAGCCACATATGGCTCTTTGGACCCTCTCCACCGGCTCTTAATACTGGCTAAAATGTATATAAAGAGCTAAATAATTTACTATAATATATACCGGTATCAATAGCTTTAGCGTTTTTTATAAGATGGAAGAGAATGGGTTTAAA